ACACTACATTTTCACTTATACTAATTAACGCAAGATCTATAAAAAGGCAAGTTGCATTTTGTAAGCATGCTTACTCAGCTGAGCACTCCACATGTACTTTTCGTCACCGAAACATGGTGCTCCCTTGCTACATTGGGTGCTACTTTAGGTAGTCCTAGCTACTATCTATTTTGAAAAAATCGCAGCACAAAAAAGCGGCGGGTGCATCGTATATCTCCATCGGAACTTCAGCGCAGAGTTCATTGATGACCCACAGTTAAACAATATCTCAGAATCTGTGTGGCTATCGGTCGCTGCAGCCTCCTCTACAATACGTCTCGGTTGCATCTACAACCACCCGAATGCGACGGCCAAATATATCGCAATTATCTTCTCGGCTTTTGCATTCGCACCGATGTTACCACACGGTCTAAAGATAATTGCTGACGATTTCTGTCTACCGAATACAACTTGGTCACCACAAACATCCACATTATTGAACAGATCTTTCTTATCGACTATCAGAGTTGGGGGTTGGACTCAGTGGGTTACCAAACCAACTAGGTCTGTCAACATACTGGATTTAATCTTCACCCTGCGGATTCCTGACGCACAAATTGACATCTTAGACAACCTTCAGGGTAGTGACCGCCACATGCTACACCTTACCATCCACTTGGAAATGAATACCAACCTCGACTCACCTACCCAACATACTATACGAAGGATTGACTGGGCGCATTTCGGAAAGCAGATCCGGACCTCTAACTTGGATGGGTTCTTTCTTTCCACTTGCGCCCACATGGCAGTGGAACATTTCTACCACCAGATCAACCATATTCTAACTGTACATGTGTCGCACATAATAAACGTGCTGTTCCTTGTCCTATGAATGTAAGCGCCAATCTGAGTGACTTGTAAACGAGAAAACTACTCGGGAAATTCAGAAAAACTAGAGACTTCTCGCTATTATTATAGCTGCACAAATCCACCGCCTGCATCAAGCGCTCACAAATGAAACAGATTAAAAAAGAAGAGGAGAACGCCTTGCAGATGAGATGTAAAGGAACGGAACTGGCCAAATTACTCCGTCGTAGGACTAACAATCGAATGTCTTTGATTACAGAACTTATTGATGAGGATGGTCGCCACCATAACGACCTACCTGCTATTTGCGAAGCGTTTATCACTTTATTCGCTGCTTCCATGAACGTAGAAACCGACCATATACCTTGCTGCCCTGAACTTACAACAAGCGGCATAGATAATGTCGAGATTTCTCTTCCGACCATCCAACAGGCTATGACGTCCATCAAACTATCGCTCAAATCAGACTCTGACGGCATCCACCCATCAGTTATTAATCTTGGTGGACTTGACATACCACTGCTTTTGCTAAACATGTTCACCTTGTCGTTAGAATCTAGCTACTTTCCGGATCAGTATAAAACATCGTTTATTCTCCCTCATCGTATAGGTGGGCCCAAAGAGCAGGTCACTAATTATCGACCTATCCATCATACTCCCGTCATCGCTAGATTACTCAAAAAATTAGTTAACAGTGGAATCATGGGCTTTATCCAGCGTCATGGGCTATTTAACAAATCCCAGCATGGGTTCCGCGACAAACGTTCCTATAGGTGTCAGTTGCACTATCTGGATTATATCACAGAAGCCACTGATTCGAAATATGCAGTTACATTAATGTTCCTGGATATGCAGAAAGCATTCGACAGAGTGACCCACAAACGGCTACTGAAAAGATTAGAGTCGTTTGGAATCAGAGACCCACTATTTAGTTGGTTGACATCATACCTAAATGGGCGTTACCTGATAGTCACTCTGGGTAGTCCTAACTCCTCCCCACGTCCAATCACTAGTGGTGTCATTCAAGGGAGTGTACGTGGTCCTTCGCTTTTCCTACGTTATATTAACGCTATCACGTTGTCCATAAAACATGGCAGACCATTTCCGTCTGCCGATGACATAATGATTGTTTATAAATTTTGTCGAAACGAACTCAATGACGCAGTGCTGCTCGTTCAAGAAGACTTCGATTCACTTGAGAAATGGTCCCACACATGGATGCTAAATTTCTCAGCTAGCAAATTATGCATTAGGTCGCACGGTTGTTTAATTCCTGAAGAGTCTGTTAAACAACAATGGGCGTATCTTTGTGAAATTATCCAATTGTGAACTATTCATACGATACTATTCAAACTTTATTTTCTCAGAGCAAGCTGGGTATCAAATAGCACGTGCCAAAAGTTCTGTGGCCAACATATGCTATAAAAGCTATGCAACCCCTGCCAGACTCGAGCTTTTCAAAATACTTACACTGATACTGATACTGATACTGATACTGTATTTAAGAGCAAGTAGAAAGGTTTCTGTACAACTCTATCGAATTACGAAAAATCAAAATTTACTTGTGAATTATCAGCAGTTGTGTCTGGTCTGTTGATCGTTTATCCGTGTTCGGTTAGAAATTTGTACTAGCGTCATTATTTCCGGACATACAATGTATTCTTTTGGCACTGTATGTGCATCGTTTCACAAAAGCACAGGTTTGCAAAATAATCGTCGATACGGGTTTTAAAACACTTCACAGAATCGGCCTCTATTAATCCTTCAGGTAGTGTATTCCATAAGTTTACGATTCTTCGTTCGATACAAAGCTGATGTGATACTTTGTTCATGCTGGGGACCCTGAGTTTGTAACGATGTCCTCGGGTGTTACAGGGTTCTCGCAGGTGAAATATTGGCCGTAGTATGGGGAAGTGATTCAAGTGTAGTACTCGATGGGTCATAATAAGATCAATTCTTACTCGGCGGTAGGATAGTGTGTAGAGTCCGAGCTTTTCACAACGTTTTTCATATGGAAGCTTTCGTAGACTTGGTATCATTCTAGTTGCGATATGCTGTATTTTCTCCAATTTTTCAGTTTCCCACTGGGTTATCGGATGGTAAGCTGGGGCACCGTATTCAAGGATTGGTCTAATGAGCGAGGTGAATAGACGAGGGACGGTTTCTTCGGACCATGTGGAGAAACTGCGTCGTAATGCCCACAGCATACGAAGTCCCGCACGGTACAATTTCTCTGTATTTTCTAGTGATCTTAAATCATGTCGTGAGAGAACTCCTAAGTCTCTGACAGATGTGTTGGGATGGAGCAACTGGCCGTCCAAGGTGTATGATCGAGTGGCTGGACGTCTGGTGATACTGATGAACTCCGACTTGCTTGCGTTAAGAGGGAGTTGCATTTCAGTGGACCACGTTGACAGTCGCTCTAAGTCATGTTGGAGGCGAGCGCAGTCGTCCTGGTTTTCAATGATCCTCCAGATTTTCAAATCATCTGCAAACAGGACACATGGTGACTGGAGCTGCTGCGGAAGATCGTTGATATGAATAAGAAATAATGCTGGCCCAAGTACAGTTCCTTGAGGCACGCCACTGTCCTTGAATACTGCAGCAGCATGTATGAGGATATGTGAATGGGTGACAGGAAAGCTTTAGAAAACCTGTAAAGATCATTCACTAAGCGCTTGTTCAGTAAATCAACCACCTTGAGTTATCTAGAGCGCTGCCAGCAGCTTAAGCTCGAGCCCCTTTGGTTGCGATGACTGAAACATAACCTGATGCTGATACACAATCTCATAAACCAAAAGACATACACCAATCTGTGTAGTTAAAATTCAACATAACCACTCGGAATATACACAGCAGACCTGTACATTACGTGTGCCGAGAATCAGGACAGCTATCCGATCCAACTTCTTCCTCGTCAGATACGCTGTCGTGTGGAATAGCCTACCAGCCACAATCAGGTCTTGCACAAATGCAAGAGCATTCCACATTCAGCTTAGCAAATTCCTTGACCAGAATTTGATAATGAGCATGTTTCCATCGGGTAAATCACCACAGGAGTTTTTTCAGGATGGACCAAAGAATATATAACCGATGATTAAAGATGGTACAAGAAACTCAGCAATAACAAACGTTACGTGATTACAAATTATGTTGATAGCATACACCCTATATTACATATTTCAGTCATGTATGAGCATGATAATTATTGTACCCATGATCTGTTCACAATCCAGGGACAGCTTCTCGTACAATCGGGAAATATACGTATTATTAATATTATTTTATGTATGGACTGCAATGTTTTCTGACTGGCAACACCCAATATCTACCTGCTTCATCAGCGTAGGTCCCCGCCATCGCATTGACCAAAGTTCACTTAAATGTGAATCGCGGTATATTTTGAGACTGCGTGTCGCCATCCAAAAATCCACATTAATCACTGGGATAATGCAAAATCGCCAAATATTATTGAAACCGAGCAAGATGTCATGAGTTCAGAGACGTTTAGGGAAAAACACGCTAATTGATTGTTACCAAATCTTTCTGAGCTTACTAGTAACTTGCGTTGTAATTGTTTGGACTTTAAAAATGCTCAAACTTTTTCCAGGTAACTTTTTCCTCAAGCATGTCGCAAATATTCGCGCAGCTCTTTTTGTCTTTAAGGGAGGTTCATCGCAGCCAGTTTCCAATTCAGATAGTCATCCACATGCTTTGAAAAGCACTAGACTGCAGTTTCAACCTGTTGGGTCTCGTCAATAGTGCGCATCCATCGGATCCATCAGGATTGGAACCCATGACCACCAGCGGCTTGAACCGCCAGTCAGCAGCTTATGCCACTGGGCCACGAGGGACAGCTTCGGACCGTCATGATATAGAGAAACTGGAAACTGTCTGCGATGAACCTCCCTTATTTACATCAAAAATCCCCTACTCATGAGTACATCATTTTGTCTTTGTTCACGTTGTTAACACTGTGACAAAATCGCCTAGAGATCAGCAGACTTAGTAGACTACAGGGTAGCCAGATATAATTGCGATACTGATCTACCATGAATTGTTTTAGTTACGCGGTACATGTCACTCTTACTCTTATGCTTTATTAGGTGTATTGAAGAGATGTATCTCCGTTTATCTCTCTGTACACTTTTCAGTTTGGACACGATCATTTTACTACGGTGGACCAAATGGAATGCTGCTTGCGTCAGTCAATTTTTAAATGAGATAATCAACCGCAGAATTCCCAGTATAGCTGGTGTACCTTCTAGCAATGCCTCTTCAATACACAGCAGACTATGCTGTCTTATTCTCCCTGGTTTTACTTACAAAGGAAACTATACACTCTCAGTCACTGAACCGCAATCCGGACATCCAATCCATAAAGATGACACAGACGCAACCTTTAGATTGGCCATGGAACTTGGGGTGCATGTGTTGCAACTACACGAGTCCACTAACTCACTCAGTTTCGGTTTGCACATACGGGGCAGTTCTAACTACCAGTCAGCTCTGAAAACAAACAATACTAAGCACGAGGGTTCATCTGTATCTCGTCACGGCGGAAAGTATACGCATGCGAAAAACGTCGGGATGGTTCTGTATCAAAAATACGGTGTTGGCTGCTTGCAGCTCGTTCCAATGTTTGAAACCCAATCAGGTTTGTTGGAAGACAGTCATTTTTGAAGTGAAATACGATGTACTTTAAAAAATGCAAACCTGATATGGCGTATCCAGTTTTGTGCTGTGGAAATTCGGTATATCTTTGACTTCATTTGATTGGTTGCTCATAAATGAACCAATGGGATCTTATTAGTATTTTTGACTTCCGAATAAACAGGACTGCGAAATGTCTAGTTCTTCAAAACTATCGGAACGGTTTAACAATCGTTGTTTACCAGTGTGGTTTATGACTTTTGGTTTCGATTCGCGTCTAGGTGAACTTTTTAAAACAGTATTATACATACGGTCCGGTCAATTCACGGATAGATTATGGAGTTCCGTACCATTTTCGAAGTACAGACAAAGAGAAATATGCTTTACCCGAGTGACCGTTATCCCCTTTTTACCTTCCTAAATTATAGTTTACCTCATTGAATTTATTTATAGCAAACTATTGCTTGTTGGAATCTTCCACTAAATTTTGACCGATATATTTTCCTTCCATTATGCACAGGTGAGCTTGCAGTTGTCATAAAACATCTGTTACCATACCTAGGTCGTTCAGAAACATTTATGGTGACTGGATGGCATTCTAGCGGAGTTCATGGCAAACTGGGGTAAATACTGAGCCTGTGGCCCCTTATGGAACCGAATTACGAAATACTGCCTTCAGGTAACATACCATATCAGGTGGCTATGTTATAGTTGGAGGGTATCGTGAATTCAGTTACCGTAGCATTTACAAGTAGAAGAATTCGTGAGAACTGGTTTACTGCATGATACCGAGCTCAGGAGGTTCAGAACTTGCGCTATTACTGATTAGGACAAAAGCATTTGTGACGTGCATTGATTTCTAACCTGCATGTATAGGGATATTAACCATTGATTTCAATGTTAAATTCCCTAGGTGATAATGAACATTACTAATTCTGTTATATAAGTTTGATTATAAGGTCAGTAGATAAATTCGTGAACCGTGTCAAAACCCTATATGGCACCTTCTCGCATCCCAAAGCAAAATCGGTCCCATTCATATTCCTTTACAGCTAAGTATTTGCGGTTCAATTGATTTAATGGGCCATTGAAAACGTAGATCTTTATGAGAGAATTCCAGAAGATGTATGTTCCACCTGCGTTACCGTGGCTACCTGTTACTATCATTTGCATGGCACATGAAGACTGCACAAATTTTATGGGTCTCTTTAGTAAGCAAACTTCTAATTAAGACGGTTATGTGTCGCTCAGCTTGGTTTGTGAGTTTCTGGCAACATGTGGACACTCCGCTACAGAACAGCGAGCTCAGAGGTGAAGTACCTGTTACGTACCCAAAACGGATTTAAGCTCAGCCGTATTTCAGCAGGGGAAAGTGCAACCGGTCATCCCCTTAATACATACGAAGGTTGCGAAGTAGCTTCTGTCCACCCGTTTGCTGTAAGGGTGATGAGCTCATAGGGTGCATATTTTCAAGTATTTTGTGATAGTTTTGATTTTTGAGTTATTCAATGGGTTATTAGAGTTAGAAGTGTTATTAGTGCTTCCTCGCAAAGCTACTGAGCGAGTTTTGCTCGTTATTATGCTGAGCTACTGGCAGCCAAAAAAGTAACCAATTGATATCTACCTCCACATGGCTAAAGTGCTGCTTGTGTGTTCAATTTTCTGATATTAGACGACTCTTGTGGCTTCAGTGCATTATTTCGCTGGATGCCTCACCGAGCATCCTGGCCGGACGAGGAACGAGCAAGCCAATACATGGTTTGCTGTACCCAAGAAATCCTGCAGACAACCACAAATTTGGCGGTAAATCATGCACCAAAGGACTCTCAGGAGCCTCTCTCCGTTTTGAAATCGGTGCGGAAACTACAATTGCTGGTGGAGAATTTAATGCTGATCTGTGACGAAATACATTCAAATGAAAATACTTCCAAAACCAGTAAGTCAATTGTTTAGCTTGCATGCCCCCAAAACTCTACATTACTTGTCACTGGGAGTAACTAAGTTGGTGAACTATTGTCTAATTTGATTACAGTAACGACGCTTCTGACCCTAAATTTCAAAGAAGCAATCGGCGTTTCTATGTTAGTTTAAACAGAACTGCGGAAACCGATTTAGTGCTTTCGAGCTGTGATTTTCAGTACTGGTGACTAGCCCGATCACGGGAACCATTTCTACCGCTAGCGTATGCACTTGCATAAATTTCATCTGTACGCTATGACTGTGAGCTTCATCATTGCAAAATTGTCTTACTCGATTTCACCGATCATTCAGTGCTGTTCAACAAGTGACTGAATTTTCCTAACTTTATGCGGTTTGTTATTTTGTTTAGGACGTTCGGGTTCATTGTACTGAGTTTGAGTACACGTTAGCAAGGGGTTCACGAGAGATGATACGAAATGAGAGCTTCTGTTTGATGCACCAAACTCCCGCTACGAAGTTACACCACATGAGTTCATCAGTCACAGCACGAAACTGCATGCGTCAGGAAACGCCCCTAAGAAGTCGATGCTTATCACTGCACCGCCACTAAGCCATGAGGGGAATGAGAAATTCATTGCATAGCGGACAAACACCTTAAGGGTGATAATGGGCGTCACAGTTGAACCTTACCAATTCATATTTGCTGGGCCGTTGTTGAAGTGTTTACTCAACAAACCGACGACGAAACGGCTCACATCTCACTGTTTGTGCATGAATAGCGGTGGTGGTGCTACTTAAGGTAGCACACATACCAAAATTCATCTGCTAGCGAAAACAAGTTGAAACTTTGACAGCGGAGAATAGTTGGACTAGCTACCGGAGTGTCTCATTCTTCATCTAGCCCATATTGACTGTGACTTACCAGATAAACCTACATATCGCACTCACTATCTTATGCACAATAAAGCACCCGAAATCCCCAATTTACTATGCTGTCCACTGATACAAGCAGAGTGCGCCTTCTATGCTGTGTACAGTGAGACTTAACAACCACTCGAATCCTACAGTAGAATGGCAAAATTGTGGATTTCTTCTCACCATGCATACAAGGTCTGACATTGTATGTTAGAATTAGAATGACGTAGGAAGTAAATGAATCATTTCACTAGCTGCGTTTTTTGACATTTTTGCACACACTTTAAATGACTTTTTATGTTCTGGCATGAGAACAACTGCTGTTAGGCTCGTGGATACTGATTAAATGGAATTAGCCTGAGTAACTTAGTGAAGATGGTTAATTTCAACACAATCGGGGTTCTAACTCAAGCTCAGTAGTACTTTGATGTATACTTGAGTGAAATCTCCGTTAACAATTAGATGAAACTGATGCCGGAAGCAAGTTAAGAGTTTTATAATTTCCATATACTGCACCTAGTTCACCTAGATAAGTTAATTTTAAACTGGTTCCGGTGTGAAAATAGGCTTTATCTTAAGCAAATACTTAAAAATCAGAGACTATAGCTTGTAACCTGAAAGTACAGCTTATACCAATTCACTTTATTCAAATAGTTCTCTTTGCAACTCGAGTTGATGCGGAAGGTGCAGATGATATTTCCACGTTGACCAACTTGCAAACGTGGTCAAAGTTTGTGAAAATTTCAAAGAGAAATATTCATCTTGTTGTAGCGTTAATAAGTGATCTCCTGACTATGAAACAAAAATGTGTAGCGTATGCAAATTAGTTACTTTTGAACAGAATTATGTACCTCTTGAGTCCTCTCGACAAAACGTTTAATCGTGCATATCTTTCATTCCTGTTCATAAGAGCGCAACTTTGAAATCCTTAATGAACTAGTACAGATATGAGTTGCATATTATTCGAAAGTCGACTTCATTTTCATGTTGATTAAGCACTTGAAGGAAACACCAAAAATGTGCATGTTAATAAAGAAAACAACTAATTTAAAGAGCATTAATCGAGGCGATACATAATATGTGTGCATAAGACTACTCATCCGGATTTATATATATATATATATATATATATATGTATATATATGGTTGGCGGCATCCGGTTTCGGATTTGCCTGTCACTGTGGCAAGCCACAGGACGCATGCGCCTACAGAGGGACCATGGGTGGCTTGCGTTGCACCACCCACAGTTCCAACCACATACCCCATATCCAGTGTAAACCCGAAGGAATAAGACAGGGAGGCATGTGGATGGGAGCCACGTTTCATCAACGGAGCCGGCCTACACTCCTACACAGGCAAACAAAAGCAAACTGCATTTGGGAATCAATCGCACACAAGGCGGTGGCTGGACCGTAGTCCGCTCCACACTGAGTGCATGCAACCACTCTTCGAGCCTAGCACGGCCGCAAGGACGGTGCAACCCGCCCCCTCTAGCAACGACCAACTGTCTCCTAGAGCCAGTATGGACGAGGAAGTTGGTACTAGACAGGTAGGCACCTTGTCAACATGCACATCAAGCGCAGTCACACCGCGGATAACAAGCAATAGCCAGTCACTTGAAACAACAAGATGAAATAAAATTACTCCAATAATGCATACACATACGGTGGCATAACTCCTCGCTAAATTAAATTATCATATAAAGTAAGTTAAGTTGCTTAGCAACGAATCCGCGATAAGGAAAAGTGTCCAAAAGTTAGTTAAAAATGCTACAAACGCAACAAAGTTAACGAAGATAAGCGCAATTGGCGTAAGCAACTTGGCCAGTTAATAGAAGGTTATTCAGGCAGGCAGAAGAAACCAAAAAAGTGGAATGAAATTTAGCCAGCTTAGAAGGACTCAGTCTAAGTGTTATTTGGTTTAACCCAACTGCGGTGACAAAGCATCAAGAATGCAACATCAGCCTCAGCATGGGGTACGTATATATATATATATATATATATATATATATATATATATATATATATAAATGAAGACATCCGTGTCCCGATTTGGCTGTCACTTTGCTCTTCTTTGGGGGTAAAAAGAGGAGGCACGGATGACGGAACCTCTGCTCGCATATTTTCCCCGACGTCTAATGCTGTGCTCCATATATACGTTTCAAAGCTGAAATCGAGCGAAAATTAATGGAAATTTTTATGACTACAGTTGCAGATGCGTATGTTTTGCTTTGTCTTGGGCGAAGTGGTTTGGCTGTGGACGTAATGTCGCCATACTGGTTGACAACTTGGCATTAACTCAGACCACGCCTTCAGTGTCCTCTGGCACTGCACGCTGGAGAAATCACGTCAATTAACTGACTGTTCTGGTATCATATAATTCATAAAAACTGTAAACTAATGAATGCAATTTCTGAAATTTCTTGTAAAGGGACATACAGCAGAACAACTAAAGAGTACTTTTATTAATCATTGTAATCCAATATTTACTTCCCGCGGCATCCATTCGATAATCCCTAATTGCATCTTCGAGTACACCTCTACAAAGTTGCCCGAACATGGTGCGGCAGGCAGTAGTTAAGATTTTGTGGGAGTGGGGAGCGAACAATTCAGGGTGTTCCAGGGGAAGTACAACCCAAGTGGCTTCATCCCGGGTTACGTGAAGTGTAAAGTACGCCACGACTGAAATGCATAGAGACATATTATTGTATAGTACACCAATGCATTTTGTGTATGTGCAAAACTTTCTTGTCCGCCAGGTAGACTCCTTCAAAACCAACAGAGAAACCTTGGAACTAGCACTTCAAGCGATATTACAGTCAACAGTGAATAAAAACTGTACATGGCTTGCCATGTCTGTGAGAATTGAAACATAAGTTTATGCAAATGCAGCTTACCCTTCAGTCAGCATGTGTCGAAATGATGTAATTCAGTGCACATAAAGGTGAAAAGCAATGCTTTGCTTTGCGAGCAAAGATAATTGACAATGTAGTGCAACCGGCAATCATGGAATTCGCGGTGACTAGCCATAGTGGCAGTACTCAATCAACAAACACATCAATGGGAAGCATTGTGAATCCGCCTAACTGTTCGCCGAGAAAGAAAGTAAGACTCGATCACGAAGTTCAGTAATATGAAACGATGCTGAATGAAGAAAAGTGAACAGTTACTAGTATATGATTAAGTCACATGTACTGGCAACCAGAAGCATCCATACAAAATGCACGGTGCACTTGAACACCAAGCACTCGTCTTTTAACGGTGCGCAAAACGCACGACAGAAGGTATGTGTACACACATTCCGACAACTGAACCAGTGTTCATACCATGTTTTCAAGCACTCCAAACCAGCTTCCCTGTCTGCAGTGCCTACAACAGCAGTGGCTTTCTTAATCAGTAGTGACTTGATAGGTAGTTGACTTATCTGAATTGTCGGCTGACTGCGACGAACAAAAATGCTCGCCAAAATCCTTCTAATCATAGGGTAACACATACCTACACGCCTAGAATGCCAAGCCATTCATATCAAGCTGCGAAACCTGGTGGTCGTACATCGATATAGTGCTATTGTCAACACTCTCTAAGTTGTTGGTGTGGTTAATTGTGCGTGTCTCTGTACAAAAATTTAATTCCAGTTCCATTACTTTCGTGTATTTCCTGAAGGCACTAAACACACCGTATCTTTGAGCATATATGTTAAACTTTGATGAAATTTTTATATCCTGCATCTCAGTTCAAGTCACAGAACTTTTGTCACGACACTAGTACCAACTTAATTGTGCTCTCCACTTAGCCAATATGGTTAACGTATGGCTTAACCATGTGTAAAGCAGATTTATCCAAGAATTAGGTAAGAATGGACATAACGGGCATTTAGGGTGGAAGCGTTTCACTACACCGGTACAACACTTCGATCGCAAGTTCCCTTCAGCTATACATCCAAAAATCAGATATTACTCAAGTCGTGCCAGGTGCATATCTGCGTCCAAAGAAGAGATTTTAAGCATGCTTGCTCTTGTAATCCTCCTACTTTGTGAGAAAGGTATGTTGCAGAATGATGCTTGCAAAGCACATCACATGTTCTGAAACCACCAGGATACCAACAACAGCCCCTGAATTCCATATGTACCTATAGGCATACACCGAAACGCAGATGACGCATGATGAGGTGTGCATCGTTACAGTGGTACGTTTGACTGAAACCCATGCTGAGAGTAAGCATTCACAACGTGTTTGTTGACAAAGTTAGCCATCTACAATACAATCCAGTACTGATGAATAAACAGTTGATCACAGTTCGATGATAGTGGACTATGTGAACCATATAACTGATCCAGCTTTGGTCATCCAAAGGCATACGATGATGAAAAAACTTTCCTACAGCCTTTCAAAATCACTGATATGTGTACATCATACGATCTTCTGTGCATTTGTAGGTCCTACGAACAAACCATCGTTTCGCTCTGGTCTGACAAAATCACAAGCATTCGTTACCGCTCTGAAGCAGAATGGATCACTTAGCAAGCCATACGCACGGTAAGTGCTGAATGTATCACTTGCAGACAGCTACAATGTTTTTTTCTGGCTGAGCGATGTAAAGCATTCCGGTTGAAATATGACACCAAACACCAGCTCATGCACGTTAGCTCACGACATGCGTCACGTGCCCGATTTCACTACGCTGCCGGAACCGCTTGCGGCTATGGAATGCTGACTTGTAACCTTCTCAAACCAGGGCACCGATGATCAGGGTGAGTACGCAGGTACTTCATGGGCTACTTAACATTTGCATAAACCTCAGTAACCAGCATACATTCATGAGGTAAATCCAAGATATGAGTCGGAGACTACGTGGGATACTGAAGGACAAGTTTGCAGTAGTTCTGTAGTGAGGTTGAAGTGAAGCAGCTTCCAGACCCCTCGACCAACTCACAACTTCGATGCATACCGCGGCCTCACACAAAAATGTGGCAATTACTTAATCCTCTCCGTGAAACTGGCAACATGCGGATGATTACAGCGTCAATTTGCTTACAACCGACACCCGGGTAACTGATCCACTTCCACCACTAAACATTTTAATATCCACCATGTAGGTAAATCCAGCTTCGATGTTGCCATGACTCCCACTGCAACATAATGCTGTCTGATCGAACAAAATAAAATACACGCAGTCAGAACAGAGCATTGTGAAAAGCAACAAGCATATATTTACCGATAAATCACAAAGTGAATACACCAGCATTTTTCGCAAATATCTAGTAAAGTCAAGATACGCATTAGGTATCCGATGGAAAGTATCCTCTGCATTTTACACTATTAGAAAAGCAAAATAATAGTTTAATACGGATAAATGTTACAACATTCTGAAAAGGTATCAGCAAATGAAGTTCACACTAGTGGAATCACTGAGGTGTACTTATTAAAAACTGTCAATCTATTGTAAGTCCATACGGAATGACAAATATGGTGTTTGTGGAAATCGTACCACCTAATAAATACGTGCTGGAGTTGAAAAAAGGTGGAACGTGTTCTGAGAAGGGCTGGCAGTGAAATGTCTAACGGACACTCGTGTTTGGCCATGGACAATGAGTCATGTGAGAAGGTGCGACGAAATGCGTGTACGGTCAACTCGGGACTTGGACTCCACTAGCCTGGTAACGTGGCATATTCCGGAAGGTCATTCCACGCTGGATAAACACGTTCGGAAAAGAACTTCCAACGACATTCTAAACGACTGTATTGCTCTGTCAGGTTGTGATTGTGGTCTCTCAAATTACTCTTGTGACTGAGCCCCGGCAAGTGGCGAAAGGTGTGCTTGGAACCCCACAAAATCTGGTACGTCAAAACGATATCCCCACGCAATCGACTGTATCGTCCACTCAAGGCCCCGTGCACCCTCATCCTTTGCTCACGCAGCGAATGTTACAGGCCCTTGACATTCTTGGTTGCTCGGATTCAGGATATCTTCATGACGGCGAGATCGCTCCTCAGTCATGGCTACCAGACCTGTACTGCGTACTCCACTTGTAGATGTATTTATGATTCGAATCATCTGAATGCATGCCGCAGAAGGCCAACTTTTTGTATACCCCCTCTTGCTACCTTTTCGGCCCGATTCAAACATCCAAGATCGGCCTAAACAAAAACTCATAGATACTTATCGCCAGACTTTCGAAGTTCCTGGTTACCCAGTTTGCAGGAACACAACAGCTGGTGCAGTATTTGCAGCATTCTACATTTATCCGCATTTAACCGAAGTTGATTCTGGATTGACTGTTCGAAAACACTTTCCAAATCGACTCGAAGTAGTGTCCTCACATCTGGCGTGTTGGTTGCCCTCCACATCTTGATGTCATCTGCATAGAACAGGCAGTTCGAGCTTATGGGGTGTCTTATATCCTTGATATAAATAAAGAACAAAATGGGCCCAAGTACCGACCTCTATGATAATCCGCATTCAACTTGAATGGGATCTCATACTGATTCAGGTACTCTCACCTACAAGCGTCGGTGTAAGAGAAAGCTCCTGATCCACCTTTTGAGGGGATCACCAATAGCAAACTTCTGGAGTTTGGAGGGAAGAATGCCAAGGAATAACTGATTGAATGCCTTTGAGAGGTCGAGAAAAACTACATCAACTACGGCACCAGTGTCTATTGTTTCATGCCAGGTGGATAGTGCTAGCTATAGATTTAGAGTGCATGAGCAATTTTGTCAGAACGCATGCTGTTCTGGTGCAAGTAAGGTAAATTCATCCAAGTGGGTCGTTAATACGTCACTAATAATGACGTCCACAACCTGTGAAGGCACCGGTAGGAGGGTTACAGGACGGTGGTTGCCTGGATCGGATTGATTACCTCCCTTGTGGATTAGTGTTATCAACCCGTGTTTCCAAAGGCCAAGCACATACATTTCTTTAAATGACCTTTAGAAGAACCAAGCCAAATGTTAAGGTAAACTCGTTCCTACCGTCGCAAATAACTTTAGGCGAGGATTCTGCATAACAGATGTATTCAATGAGTAAGACTACAAGATCGCTGTGGCCCTAGGGAACGCAGACGATCACCTTCTTGATCCTAAGTTAATCGTTGGTTAATATTCAATCCAATCTAAACGGTCCGTTTTTCGGAATCTGGTAGGAGTGTTGATGTGGCCACGTAGTGCGCAAATGGAGACAACCTGAACTAGTCGGCAGGTGCGGCTTGGGATTTTCAGGCGTGGATGTTAAAGTCGCCAGTGATATAATCTGGCTGCACTTCTTGTTAGTCACCTGCCTCCGTGCGGATGTCAGATTGAGCTCCATCCCGGATTCGGTGGAAGGTTGAAGGTAAGAGACCACTATCAAGCAGGCGTCGTCACCTCTCTACCGTAGACGGCATCTTGATGACCAAATTCTACATAGCCTCACACTGGCAGTCACTGTAGAAGTACAGAGCTACCTCTCCTCCTTTGCTGGATCAGTTGTGCCGAACAACGGACATACCTGCTAGTACGATCTCCATGTCATTTATGTCGGGGCATAACCATGTCTTCGTTATAGTGATGCAGTCGCAGTTCAAAAAGTTTACTAACTAAACCTTGAGCGCTTGTGTGGCCACATGAAAGCTTCTTATCTGTCAAAAGCTAACGACAAGGATATATATGAAAGAGGCGTGTTTGCGCAAACCGATGAGAGGTCGGTAACTAATCGTTTATTGGGTGACTCGCCAAATCTCGATATGAATGCAATCTGTTCTAGGTCTTCACATACGGTATGTAGTCCATCGGCAGGTTTCTTGGTAGCAACTATACGATTTGCCGGTCAGGTTGTCCTCTTGGACAACAGAAATAATCTGAGGGGGCATTCAACATGAGTCTACTCAATTAATTTGTTCCGTGCGTAAGCCATTCACTTGTGCAGGTGTCTAGGTGTGTGTATATAGCCCGTCGCCTTCAGCCAATTGGACGTCAGACGCACTAAGTCATAGGGGTGCAGGTGGGACGCTTCAGCTCCTACGCACGGAACAAATTAATTGAGTAGACTCATGTTGAATGCCCCCTCAGATTATTTCTGTTGCCCAAGAGGACAACTTGGCCGGGAAATGGTGTATTCTGAACACACAGTTCTCTGAAAAGTAGTTTGGGTTATACTGAGTCGTGAGTGGTGTCGTTTCCGCGAAGACAGCCAGTGACTGCGGTACTCTAATTGTTGCCTTCAATCGCACTTCCGAAGGAAATATGCTGCGCACTGTCTGGTAGCTGCGGGTTTAGTGCACCGCCATCTGCTGCGAATGAACCATTAATTACAGTATCCTCGGGCCACTGCCTTTGTGTTGAAGCGACACGGGTAGCCTTAAAATTGGCTGAAGTAGAACGTCACAGGAGCGAGAGCTACATGGATGTACCGCCATTCTTCCTTGTCAGCAGCCTGATTTTTACCGTCGCTAGCTGCCAGTACTTTGGGCATGCCATGAAGGAAAATAGTTTCTCCACTACTGCCCGTACGGCGGTCGTTTGAATTGTTTTTGTCCCACTAAGCTTAGCTCCATGGAATAGGCGGAAAATGCGTATCCCAATATCTTCCGTCCGGAGGCGGTGTGCTGACAAAAGCACCGCCTCTACATCATCTGCGGATCCTAATGTTACTCGTATTAATCAGGGCTCACCGTAGTACATCCATTTAAAATGCCTAGTAGCCTGAAAGCAGATCAATTCGCAACTTGCATTCTACTGATTCAGATCGCCCTGGTGTTTGCGCCTTAGGCAGTTTGCCTTAGACCCAGAACTATTGATGCGTATGAGTGGTGAGGCACCGTATTTTCGTGTGGTCTTCGGTGAGGTTGGATGCACGATTATCGGTGGTTTTTATGCCTTCTCCGCACGTTGCACCAAATCTTTGACACTTGGTATAGCCGTTTCGGCTGAAACTACTGAAGTCGCATTTCGTTTACGTAAGGCAGCAGGTGTTACGTAGCGGATATGCCTATTGGGAAATTCGTTTGTTTTGGTTCAATCGGAAGTGTAGATGCGGCTTAGGTTGCATCAGTTGATATAGTGCAGAAGGGGATATACACGGTGATGCCGAGCATGTTTCGATCATTAACGATGATTGGTCGGTTCCTGGTTTCCAAGGTTTCCGGTGCTGCAAGACCGTGTGAAGGCCTGGCCAATTTCCTTGATTTCGAGGCGGTATTTTGAGGAGATAGATGATGAGGTGCAAGCGGTGCTTTTGTCGCCCATAGCGAAACAATCTTCGCATTTAAACGAAGCTCAGTTTTGGCAAATCGACTACTGCACTTTTGTGCAAATGCGAATACACGTTATACTAGGGGAATCGTCGTACACTCAGGAGAGTACCAACGTGTGCTTAGTGTATGGTTATACTTTATTTCGGTTCGACCCACGCTGACTCACTTTTCATAGCAATAACTGGTACAGGGAGAACATTCCAACCCTAATTTTACCCCCAGCGCATGTTTGAATAGAACAAAGGAATTCCTTTCCAATCACGGATGTTGTGGCCATTGTGCTCGAATGGCCGCTGTCTGGTTTGCGGGT